GTTCCATCTCTGATTTCAGTTCTCTTTCCAGAGTACCATACTGTTTCTCTATTAATAGCTATGAAAGTGTTTTGAAAATTGAAGAATGCTATACAGGTATAAATTACTATTCTTTAATATATGGTAGAATGAAATATGAATAATTTTATTTAAGTAGGTTTCCCTCTGGGTCTCCAGGCTTCCCACCACAAAGAATTATTCATCAGTTTTAATATTTATTGAGCACCTACTATAGTTAAGATTAAAGGTACCTGCAGGTTGTTAACAATACAATAATTTCTCTCATCTCCTTTAACCTTTCCTGATCCTACTCTCCCACCTCAGGTTGCTCTACCCATTTACCCAACTAAAGACTAGATTTCCTAAGTCTGTGTGAAGATACATCAAGCAATTCACTGTAGATTATTCCATGCTGTGGAGAGATGCTGATGGTTAGCATGTGTTTTATTCAAAGACCCTATTCTAACTGCCTTTTCTTCTCATGTGAGAATGCTTAAGCAGGTATGCTTGTGTGCCTGCAGGTGTGATTGTGGAAAAATGGTCAAAAAAATTTTTTTTCAATTACTCATTCTTTTTCACTATAACTGCAACTCTTAGTTTAAAATCCCTCTATATTTTAAATCAAAAGGCAATTAAAAGACCACCAAGCTACTGTTTTGTGAAAGAGACCATCCAAATTACATATTTAAATTCAGATCTACTTTCAAAAATACACATATCTAAGGTCCGAGCCATCATCTTCCCTTGTTTACCAAGACCTTTCCCTCCCTTTATTCAAGTAACTCACATAATCCCAACTCCCTCTTGAAGACTAATTCAAAAAACAAAGGCAAATTAAGTTTCTGCTCCAATATGTGCAAGTACCCTTCTGCTTGGACTGAAACAGTAATGGCCTCATCCATGTATTTGTGCAATATTTAGCTGTCAGCATATTGAACCAGCATTTATATTGTCACTATCTGCTTTATACAAGCCATGGTATGTTCTTTAAAATTCTCTGTAGCATTAAATACCATGAGGAAACTCTAGTATAATTGTGTCTAATTTGACTTCTCTGCATTCAAAATACATTAAAAATTCTGCAAGAAAGAGGAAAATCCCTTTGCTAACTCAGATTCGGAAACAAAGAAAATCTAAAAACAAAACCCCAAACCAAATGAACTTGGTTTGGGATTTGCACCAGATGTTTTCTTGAAATTTCTGTTTCAATAAAGATGCAATTTTTATGTAAATGACAGCATTTTTAAGGAGGGGAAAATCAATCACTCCATCACTTCAACACTTTTTTTCCTTCTTCCAGACTGGATCTGTGACATCATTTCTATAGGGAGCTCCTCATGAGGAACTTTTCTTATCAATGCAGATTGGAAATGGCATCTTTCATGTAATTAGTAGAGATCTTCCAAATACCCCTCCAAACAACTTTAAAATAATACCTTAAAATGAATTCTAGAGTGGCAGAACCAACAGAAGGACAGGATGAAAAATTTTCCAGCTCAACACAACTCAGAAGGTCTGCATTAAGGTCCGTTTCATGCGGATGAGAGTAGGGCTCAGTCTAGTGCAGGCAGCAAATTAGCAACAGGCGTTGGGGTGCAAGAGTTCTCAGCCCTAGACAGTAAAAAGGGATCAGTCAACTAGTTAGAAGGAGAAATACAGGGGATCCTTGACTGGCACTGGGATCAGATCTCTGCTGAATTATCCATATTCCATTCACAGTTCCAGTCCCAGGGAGAAGAGAAGCACTAGCACAGTAGAGCTTGAGGCTACAGAAAGTTCTAGGGTGGAAAAGAGTGTGGTTGCTCACAGACCAGAGCACAAGCCAGAAAAACAGTGACCACACCCTTCCCTATATCATACCCCCTTGAAAGAACTGAAAACTTATAGACCACCAGAACTAGCTCTGAAAATAGTAGCACAAAAAAGCTGAAGCTTGGCACAGTGCCCCCTCCACCCTGGGAGCAAAGCCCAACTTTGACAAAATCAAAAATCAAGAAATAAACTGGAAAAATGAGCAAACAACAACAAAAAAGAACCTGATTATAAAAAGTTACTATGGTGACAGGGAAGCTCGAAATACAAACTCAGAAGAAGACAAAGAAATCAAAACAGCTATATGTGAAAGCTCAAAGAAAAATGTGAATTGGTGTCAGGCCCGAATCCTTGGAAAAGCTTAAAGAGGATTTTAAAAACTAAATAAGAGAGGTAGAAGAAAAAAATGGGAAAAGAAATGAGAGTAATGCAAGAAAAAATAAAAACAGAATGGTAAAAGATGCACAATTATCCACTGAAGAGAACTTACAAAGCAGGATTGGCCACATGGAAAAAGATGCACAAAAAACCATTGAAGAAAAGAACTCCCTAAAAAAGAATATTGGCAAAGTGGAAAGAGGTATGCAAAAGCTCACTAAAGAAAATGATTCCTTAAGAATTAGAATTGGGCAAGTGAAAGCTCATGATTCCATGAGACATCAAAAAATGATAAAATCAAAAGAATGAAAAAATACTTGAAAGTGTGAAATATCTCATTAAAAAATAACTGACCTGGAAAATAGATGGAGAGATAATTTAAGAATTATAAGATTGCCTGAAAGCCATGATCAAAAAAAAAGACACTAGACATCATCACTCAAGAATTTATCACCTTAGTTCCATAGTGATTCTAACAGGAATTACAGACATAATGGAAACAGTGACTTCCTGATAAATGCAACTCATTCTTTGGATATCATTTTGCTATAATGTAATACAGACAGACTGCAAAACTTTCTGAACTGTACTTAAGATCACAAAAGAAAGTTTATCAGTAGAGCCAGCCACCTGCCTCTCAGTGTCCATCTCACATGCCCAGTACACAATTGCTTTCCTAAAAGTAAAAAAAAATGCTGAAGCTAAAAATGATGAAAAAAGAGGAGACGAGATGCATATTTAACTATTTAGTTGTGCTAGCATTAAAAAAAAATTCTCACACACTTGTTACTAGAAAATATCTGGAAAATATCACTAGCCCCATTTTTACAAATACAGAAGACAAAAACATAGGGAAATAAAAATGCCTATCTTTTAGTTAAAAAATATGGACAAAGGTAGACATGGACCATCTCTTTTCTCTGTATCAAAATAGTCTTTGTTTTCTGGGTTTTTTTATACTGAGGACTTGTGAAGGAGCCCTACACAGAGTTGGGATTCTTCCTCACTCTGTCTCAAAGCTAGGCTTTATGATGTTTCTTTCATCTTGTTAAAGGGTTGCCAACACTGACTTGGGAGTTATTTGTTGCCATTTCTAGAAGCAATCTCAAGAGGCTACTTTCTCTATTGTAGGGCCTTAAACCAGTCTTATAACTGAAATGCTTCAGAAAAAAAATCAATCCACCACTAAGCATTTTTAGATGCCAGACACAATGCTAGGCACTAGAGATGTGAATACAAAAGCAAAAGTTCTTGCCTTCAAGGATTTTACAGTCTACTGAGGGAATATAAATGTTCAGAGAAAAATAAAAATACTGTATATCCAAAATGAACAGAAAATGATTTGGGTGAGAGGAGGCATAACTGGGAGAATCAGAAAATGCCACTTTTAGGAGGAGCTCTTGAGTGGTGGTTTGAAGGGACCCAAGGGTTCCCAGGGGCAAAGGTGAGGAGGATACCTTTCTGTGCTTTAGATACAATCTATGCAAAATCACAAATATGCAAAATAGAAATGGAACATGGAATTTTGTATCTGGGGAACAGAAAATGGGCCAGTTTCTCTAGCCCACAGAGTTTACGAAGGGGAATAATATGAAAATAATAGGCTAAAGATTGAGAATAGCTTTAAATGTAGAACAGGAGAGTTTGTAGTCTATCTTAAAGGCATTACGTTGTTTTGCTTTTTCCTCAATGACTTGGAGAAAAACAAAGATGGAATATTCATCAAATGAGCAGAGGACACAGAACTCAGAAGAGTAGCTAATATGCTGGCTAACAGAGTTAGGCTAGAGCATTGGGCCAAATCTAATTAGATGAAGTTCAACAGAGATGGATGTAAATTCTTATATTTGTGCATAAAAAAAAATTCAGCCTTAAAAGTATAATATGGAGGAGGAATGGATAGAGCTAAGTTCTGAAAAAGAATCTAGGGATTTCAGTGGACTAAATGTTTAATAATGATCACCACTGACCCCATGACTATCCAAAAAAAACTAATATGATCTTTAAAAGGGATATTCTTTCCAAGGATATGGTGGTGATAGTCTCACTGTACTGTGCCCTGGGAAAGTCTGGGTCTCTATTATCTCATTTGCAAAATGGAATAAAATTGCAAAATGCTCTACCCACTTCAGAGCTATTGTGGGGAAAAAGCTCTGTAAACTTTAAAATGATTTATAAAAGTTGAGTTCTATGGTCCCGAGTTATTTTGATTTAGGAACATTATGCATAAGGCAATCTATACTCTGATTATTTCAATAAACTCTCCAAAGTAGTTTTTGTTGTACCAAGAAAAGACCATTACATTTTCTGGATGGCATATTGCTTTAGGGAACTGGCTCCCAAAATCCTTACAAATGAAGAAGAATCATTATATCAAATCACTGCAGTAGACTCAATTTATTTCATTACCTCCAAGGCTATTCGGTTAAACTCAATTTAACAAATACGATTCTGGAATCCCTTGATATTTGAGGTCCAGTGTGGGGTGTTTTCTGTAATCATGATTATGCAAATATGTTCTAAAAGACCAGGCAGAAACCACAAATCAAATAGCAAAGCTTTTAATTAGGACAGAATAACAAGGCAAATAGCAAGAGAAAATCAAGGTGCAAAATCAATCTTACCTCCCTAGTATATATACACACACAAAGTACAATCTCCCATAGACTCATGCACTCATGGGGGAAGGGGACATTCCTTAGAAAACACATGCTTTCCCCACTTTAGGTTACATTGAGACTGGAATATCTCTCTTTGATTTATCTCCTTGCTATTTCTCATCTCTGCCTCTTACATTTCCTTTCACTTACGATTGTCGCTTTGCTCCTTCATGACTTTCCATTCTCTGCTTTTGACACTGCTGCAATAGCTTCTTTCTAGGAGGGAGGGTGAAGAGTGTTACCACCATGGAGCAGACATAATGTACCTAAGAAAATTAGCCTGAAATTTTTAAAAAAATCTGAAAAAGGGACAGGGAGAAAACTTCCCACACATATCTGCCAAGTGAGATGTCATAGAGCACATACAACATAGAAAGAATAAAAGAGAGGACCAGTAATTCACAGTAAATAAAATCCATAAAGAGAGCCAGCAGTAAAACTTCACACTCCTGCTAGGTAAAGCTGCTTTCTCTGTGTTGTGCTTGGTTCACTGAAGCACAAATTATTGTAGCACACACTGACTCTCGGTAGGGTGTTGAACAAGTGTTGTGCTCCTCTGGTGACAAGTTGGACATCTACCGAGCTTTTCAAATATGCTCTGGGGCTCTCAGGAATTTCTCCCTTTCAAGACAGTTTTTTCTCAGTCAGCTCTTAAAATAGTCAAGGATTCTGCTTTGCCCAATTAGCTATCAGCAAAACCAAGCCCCCCCCCCTTCAAAACAGATGCAAAGCCTGTCTTTCTCCTATTTTTCACCCTCTCACACCCTCTCACACCCTCAACACATGCATCCCCTGAGGTTTTTCCTCTTTGCTGACATAGTTGACTCCAGAGAGCAATAAACCCAAACAGTTGTCTACCCAGCAGCAGGATTCAGGTCTCTTCCAATGAACTTCCAAGAGTTAAGGAGCCCATCAGGAGGCTTTAGTCAGTTCTCTCAGCTGACTCATCCCTTGACACCTGGTGACCTGTCTTCTGTAACCAGCTCCTATTACAGCCTCCTGTGCTTTCTGTCCTCTTCTTGTTCCTTTCTCCTCTTTATTTTCCTTCTATTTCTTCCCATTCTTTCTCTTTTCCTCTTCCTCTTCTAATGTGAAACTAAAGAATTCCTTATTTTTGTCATGTATGGCACCAGTGATCATTATATAACCCTCTTAAAGGTCCTAATAATTATTTGACACATTATTTCTCAGTTACAACTTTTAAAACTCTACAAACATTTACATGCAACTAACCTCATGTACCACAATGCCTGAAAATCATCATGACCTCTCTCACATCTCTGTCTTCAAACAGGTTCTTTAAATACATTCACCTGAGGGACACTTTTCTATCTGGTCCCCTTAATAGTAGATGTCTCTCTTCAACATTTTATCATAGGAGCAGTTTTTTTTTTCAAGTTGGCCTTATCAGCTTTCCCTATGCAACTCTTTTTTTTCTGCCAGTCAAAACATCCAAATCTTCACTTCTGAAAGGAGAACCGTGTATGCATACATACATGTATATGTGTGTGTAACTGGACAGAAAAGGCTGATGGAACACATTTGAATGAAAGGACCATCTGAGAAAGAAATAGAAACAATTTTGTTGTGGGAGTGTACTATGGACCATGTGAACAGAAGGCAAAAATAGATGAGGAATTCAAATAACAGATTAAAAATCTGGAATGGAGATATCATACAACAGTATTAAAGGAGATTTTATGTAGCCATACATTTGTAGGAAATCTCTGCCCAAAGTAGAAGAGCTAATGAATTCTTGATTTATCTCAATGATACAGGATAAAGAAAGAAAATATTACTGTTTAGGTAGGATGGCATGATAATAATGAAAAATATAAAAAGGTAGGCTTATTTAACTTTTACGTTACTTCTCTCTTCTCTGTGAAGAAGAATGCATCTTGGACTAGAAAGGCTAGAGTAATTGATCAATAGCGAATTAAAACCCAAGACAAATAAGTGTAACTGATGGTCCAGTGCTTACCTCAGGACATTGAATGCACTCAGACTAGGTTCATTCCCAGGAGGAGGTCTAAACCTGCATTCCACAAAAAGTCAACTCCTCTCTTTAGCTTACAACCCCACCATGGAGATTCATTTTGAGGAAATTTTCTAAATAAAGTTGTGTGACTTAGATCTCAGTTTCCCTAAATATAGGTAACAGAATTACCAATTCTCCCATGGTCATCAAATGTACAATACATGAATCATCCACCACCCCAAATGCACATGATGGAAAGGACTTATAGCAGACTAGGAGCAAACATGGAAAAATAAAACTCAGTTGATGAGATGCCTTCTGGAAGATAAAGACACTTTTGGAACTGCTACATAAGCATTTCCCATTCACTTCAGATTTCACTGTCTAGGCTAGCACTTCTTAAACTGTGGGTGAAGACTCCAGAATGAGGTCCTGTAACTGAATGTAGGGGGCACAAAAAGTTTGGCAACAGTGAAAGGTTTCTGAACATACAATGATCAAAAATTAATTCAAAATCAAACATGTAATGAATCCATGGTGTTTCTGGCAGAGTTTGCACATACTGCATTGTGCAACTCCACTTCAGCTTTGGTTCTAACACACTACATGCACACTTTGCACTGCACATGCCATCCTACCACATAATGCCAATGAACACTGCCAGAAACACCTAGGCTCAGATTTGAGACTACCGTATGTTATGAATTGCAGTGTCATTACTGTATATACAAAATCATCAAATTAATTTTGGTTTGAGATCAGGACAGAATTTCCAATAATTTCTGAAATGGCCCTGAACATACTTCTGCCTTTTTGTGCTATGTATTTGTGCAAAGTGGCATTCTCAGCATTGATGATTATAAAATCAAAGTATCAATCAACTCTCAAAAATGTAGCATATGCTCTACATCCGGAAGTATCAAATATTCCCATAAGATTTAATTTTTTATGTAAAAATAAACAAACACATCCATCTCGTTAGTATGCAAAATTGCTTCTGTTTTTAATAAATGGTAAAATTTTATGTATACCAAAGAACCATTTTAAAATAAATTTCTTTGTGATTTATTATGAGTTTGAATTCCTATATATCCAGAGTGAAAAGGAGTCATGAATGGAAACAGTTTAAGAAGCCCTGCTCTAGGCAACTCACAGCAATAGCAGGGAAAGCTTAGTAAGACCCAGAACTCCTGGTTCCTCATGATATGCCTTTAGTCTTCCAGATTCCAGGATCCAGTCCTGCAATATCATCTGCCTGAGGATGTCTTCACCTGGATGACTCATAAGGCATCTCCAATGCATCATGTCAAGAACAGAACTCATTACCTTTCTACTAAAACCTACCCCTCTTCCCAAGCCCCTTGTCATTGTTGTTGCAATTCCATTCGCCGAGGTTTGGAACTCAGAGCTATCTCTGATTCTTTCTTCTGTCTTGTCATACCAGGTTTGTTATATGACTGGATCACCTTTCTTTTTATAGCATGCATTTCTTAAAAGACAGCCTTTTTGTCGCAGAGGATTCTTCATTCCTCTCCAAGATGTGTTTTTGAATCTATGGACTTTGCCACCACGACTTAGCAGCCTTCTCACTCTAGAACTTCCCTAAGTATCTGGGACCTTCTCGTAATGGAACATTTCTCCACCATAATGGCCCTCTCCTTCTATTGGTGAATTTCTTCTGAGGACTCCATTTTGAGGATAGGCCCAGATCAGCCATGCTTCATTCCCTTCCTGGCTATGCTTCTGACTCTTCAGACTTCAACATTATGACCCTTATGTAGGTACCTCCTCTCTGTTCCCCAGGTTCATAGTTCCCTTTACTGGATTGTTTTCACCCATTAGAATGTAATCTCCCTAAGTCAGGGGCTGCCCTTCTCTTTCTTGTATTTGTATTCCCAATGCTTAGCATAGTGTATGACAAAAAATAAGCAATTAATAGAGGTGGCTAGGTGGTACAGTGGCTAGTGTTATAAGCTCAGAGTCAAGAACACCTGAATTCAAACCTAGCCTCATATAATTATTAGCTGTGTGACCCTGGGTAAGTCACTTAGCCTTGGTCTCCTCATCTGTAAAATTGGAATAACAATATTACCTACCTCCCAGGATGGTTGTGAGAATCAAATGAAACAATACATGTGCTTTCCATATAAGTAAGTGATTTCCACAGTTCCTGGGACATAGTAGGTGCTTTGATAAATGCTTGTTCCTTTATTTCTAATAATTGTGTATTGCCTGCTGCCTACAAAATTCTTTTCATGCTTCTTCTTGAAACAAAGATACATCTTTGTAACAACACTGTTATTTGGGTGATACTATAAGGTTGTGAGTCATGGAACACACTGGTCTCCAAAGAAAAGTTGGAAATCACCTAGAGGGCAACAGAGAGGTACATGGCAGATGTGAGCAGACTGCAACAAGATAGATTTGTTGTAAATAAATCAGTCCTCTTACTTTCTTCTTGTGCTTTTAGCAACCTTCAGACCCTGCAGAAACTTGATAAGTTATGTTGTACTCCACACTAAATGGCAGTGTTACAGTCCATCACCAGAATGACTAATTTCTTGACAAGGCACCAAGAGAAAGAAGGACTTAGAACAGGTGAAAAGGAAATAGGATGTAATGCAGTTACTACTGAAAAACAAAGTAGCATGGTACAAAGAGAACTGGATTTGGAGGCAGAAGACTTAGGAATGAATCCCAGTTCTGCCGTAATAATAAGGTGTGTGTGTGTGTGTTTGTGTGTGTGTGTGTGTGTGTGTGTGTGTGTGAGAGAGAGAGAGAGAGAGAGACAGACAGACAGACAGACAGACAGACAGACAGACAGACAGAGACAAAGAGAGAAACAGACAGAGACAAAGAGAGAGAGAGACAGACAGACAGACAGACAGACAGACAGACACACACACACACACACACACACACACACACACACACACACTTTGGGCATATCATGCAATTTCTCCATTCTCAGTTTCATCAGTTGCAAGACCATGAGTTTGGATATCTTTTTTTAAGACAATCAGGGTTAAGTGACTTGCCTACGATCTCACAGCTACTAAGTGTCTGAGGCCAAATTTGAACTCAGGCCCTCCTGACTCCAGGGCCAGCACTTTATCCACTGTGTCACCTAGCTGCTTCTGCATTATATCCTTTTAAATGTCTCTTCCAGCTATAAGTAACATGATCTTATGAACACAACAGAGTGCTTCAAGAACATATCCCTAAATGAACTTAATGG